ATCTAATAAAATAACAGATACATACACACACACACACACACACATATATATATATATATATATATATATATATATACATAATAGGTTAAAATTACGACAATTTAGATTTAATAAAAACTAAAATAACTTGTCTGGTTAGCCGAATTAAGTGTTTCCTGTCAAAACGCGCATGTTTGATTTGATTTAACCATATAAGTCACTTGTGCTTACCTTGATATATATATATATATATATATATATATATATATATATATATATATATATATATATATATATATATATATATATATATATGAATCGAACCTGTATCCTACACATTATCGTCATTAAGCTACAGAAGAAGCATCTGTTTAGCAAAGTCAAATTACTGTTTTGCGAACCAGTCGCTTCCTCTGCAGTATAGCATGTCAGGCTATATGACGGTTCCGTGTAGGATACAGGATCGATTCCTGTCGGGTGACACATATTTTCTATGAAATTTCTCAGGCATTAAGGCCGGTATATGTAGTTAATACAGATTATTATAAACAGATCATTTATTTAAATATTTGTATCTGTAAAAATAACGTATAAACTGAAAATATATTAAGATAATTATCGGGTTTAGTCCATTTCATAACATATGATGTCATCTATATACATATATAGGAATTATATAAATATAAAATTTGTCAGGTTATAAAATTAGCTGATTGATATTATGAGAATGGATACTGTGGTCAACACCGACTGTCGACAGTCTGTTTCATGCCTGAAAGCAATAGTCAGGGTGCCTGACTGTTGTGTTCAAGCATGAAACAGACCATCGCCAATCGATGTTGACATGAAACAGACCATCGCCAATCGGTGTTGACATGAAACAGACTATCGCCAATTGGGGTTGATATGAAACAGACTATCGCCATTCGGTGTTGACATGAAACAGACCATCGCCAATCGGTATTGACATGAAACAGGCCATCGCCAATCGGTGTTGACCTAGGTGTCACATTTTATATTTACACACACTCTATCTCGGGTATTGAACACTTTTACCTCTAGATATACCACACGCCAAAGTAATCCTTTATATATATATATATATGTGTGTGTGTGTGTGTGTGTGTATTGTATATTTGGGAAGCAACCCTTTTTTATACATGTTTCATTAGATATAAGCGATAAAGAATTTTATGCTCTTTTTTCAGTTTTCTATTCTTGCAATTTTTTTTCTATTCTACGCAGTCATAGTCTTTATAAACATAAAAAACATTTAAGAACACGATAAAAATTATTTAGACTATATACTTTGTTCCTACTGTTTTCCTTATTTTTGTTGCCATATTTATGACGTTTCGGCCATTGTACGCTCCGTCCATCTTCACATGTTTGGAACCGTTTATTTCTTTCACCGGGTTAGATTGTTCTAGTTCCATGCGGCATGCCTCATCCGGACGTCTCAGTATAAGTTATCTCTCTTTAACTCAACTCTCCAACGGCACATGACACAGTGGATAAAAGCCTTTATCCGAAACCAGTGACTTGACCAAAAGAGTTGTGAGTTCAATAGCTGGCTACAGCTGAGGTGAAACAAAAACTTTGAAAGCTGAGTAAAAGGGAGATAACTGAGACATCCGGAATAGACAGATCACGTGGAACTAGAACAATCCACCCTGGTGGACGAAATAAAGGGTTCAGTTCGAAATTTCAATCCCTTGAAGAAGGCCGGAGTGTACAACGGCCGAAACCTCGTGAATATGGCAATAAAGATGAAGACAACAGTCCGAACAATGTAAATAGTGTAAATAATTACAATACCTCATATCAGAAATTTAGATAGAAAGGAGAAAAACTGAATAAAAAAAACTTACAGAATTTGTCCCTTGTTCGTTACATTTAATGAAGCATCTATAAAAGAGGGAATGCTGCCCAAATATATAATATATACATACATACATACATAGATACATACATACATATGCATGCCCTGACGTGTATAATGAATGAGTGTACGTATGAGCGGACATACATATATTTACGTCATCTATACTGAGATACGCACAATTTTATACCTATATACATAGACAAATCCCTCTGGGAAAAGTCTTTGCTGTACAACCACTAACTCTTTGTTTGAATTAGTTTTATCATTGGTCTTAGACAACTTTTAATGTAATAAACTTTGATAGAATAATATAAAAGAATTCTTTTGCCAGCTATCCTCATCTTGATTGTTTCTATCGCAACGTTTTGACCCCCTGTGCATTTGGGACTTCCTTATGCATCTGTCGTAATTTAAGAGAATGAAAGACGGAACTCTTTATCCAGAATAGAGGTATACTGTTCTCGGCATTTTGGCTTGGGGAGGTTCAAATAATATTAAGCCCAAGCCCCAGGGGTCGTTCCCCTCAGACAGTATCTCTGCTTTTAGAGGGGGGTGGTTTTATTGTCCGGCGCCCGACGCGTCTCCAAAAGGAGAAGTGTCGAGGTTGGTCAATTTTTGCAGAGTATTGCCGTTAAATCCGCTTTTAACCTCGACTCTGTGTCACATTCGGTAACAACGTTGGCGCGCTGAAAAAGTATTTTGGAGTCTCTCATTACCGGTGTCCTACTTAGGGATTTCAAGATTCGATAGTCAGTTTTCTCTACTTAGGGATTTCAAAATTCGGCAGTCAGTGTTCTCTACTTAAGGATTTCAAAATTCGGCAGTCAGTTTTCTGTACTTAGGGATTTCAAGATTCGGCAGTCAGTTTTCTTCAATGATTTTTTTTGTTTCTTGGAAGCAGTGAGTCCAATTCCAGGACAAACCAGGGCGGAGAAACAAGAGAAACATCTTAATTCCAACATCTCAAATCCCTACGAACAGTGCCAACGATAGAGACTCGTAGGTTTCTCTCACCCAAAATCTATGATACAGGGGCCCTCATTCTACACAATGTTCGTTTTTTATAAAGAAGAATTAATATAAAATGCAAACTTGAAAACTCTTTATATACAATAATCGTCAATATAATATTGTATCAAAAAATAATGTCGTGAATCATTCCTAACATAGGTAAAATATAAATAGTTATTGTTTTAAAACTATCTCCAGAGAGATTTTCTTCTTCTTTAGACTATTTTTATCGTCAATTGAAAACGTCTGGTTTTACTAAAAGGGTGATAAGACCCTAATCGATTTAAAGCAGCAGTATATTTTATTACGTATAACACCACAAACAAATAATTATATTAAAAAACGACTGTTTCTTTACATGTATTAGTTACATTATTTGGACTGTTATCCTCATCTTCATTGCCATATTCACAACGTTTCGGCTGTTGTACACTCCGGTCTTCTTCTAGTGATTGGAATTTATAATCGAACACTTTATTTCGTCTAGTATGGGTAGATTGTTCTAGTTCCACGTGCCATGCCTCTTACGGGTCTCCGTTATTTCCCTTTAACTTAACTCTCCAAGTTTTGGTTTACCACTGCCGTGGCCTGGTGTTGAGCTCACAACACTTAGGTCTAGTCATTGGATGTAACCAACGTCTTTATCCTCAAGGGCACATGGCCCAGTGGATAAAGACGTTCGTTAGATCCAGTGATCCAGCTGTGAGTTCAATACCAGGCCACGGCAGTGGTGAACCAAGACTTGGAGAGTTGAGTTAAAAGGGAAATAACTGAGACATCCGAAAGAGGCATGGCACGTGGAACTAGGAGAGTCTACCCCGGTGGATGAAATAAAGGGTTCTGTTCGAAATTCCAATCACCTGAAGAAAGCCGGGGCGTACAACGGCCAAAACGTTGTGAATATGGCAATGAAGATGAGGATAACAGTCCGAATAATGTAAATAATGTAAGTAATCATAATACCGCATCTCAGAGATATAGACGGACTATTTCTTTAGAAACATGCCTTTACTAACCTTAAATAACATTCAGTCAATACATATATTCAAAATCAATAATTGTACATAAACAGATATACAATGAATATTATTATAATCGATAATTGACAATTCAACGTAGTTAGAAATATTGATAAAGTCCCTGGAGGCCTTCAGAATGAAGTCCTCTCTTTTGTGTTTCCACAAAGGAATTGCACCCCAAACTCATTCAGGGTTGGGGAGTCGAGGTTAGCGCCGGTCCTGCATAAGACCAATATCGGACGCGATAAAAATAAGCATGCGGTCAATGTATTACCTTTCGTCTGGACAGTGTAATTCCCTGAAAGTTACCTCGTAGAAGAAACACATGATGATGACTGGAGGATAGTACTGCTGAAATGTTATAAGAAAACCAACCACGATGAAGATAAAAGAAAGAAATTTTATCAAAGCATGTAGTTTTAAACATTTAGGAGGTAGTTTGGAGAATAGTTTTATTACCTATGACAAACTAAAAATTTTTTTTTAATTATTTCCTCCCAAAGAAAGGCGATTAAGCCAGTAAGAAGCAAAGGGTTTACTGACAGTGAAAGAAAATGAGTAGATGTTAGTGAGGAGAAAGGATAATAAAAGAACAGGATTCAGTAAGATAGAAGATGACGATTGATATTGCGTTTATTTTTTTATTTTTTATTTTTTTAAGATTGTAGGTGAAACAGAAGCAAGAAACCGGAAGAGAATTTCACAGGCGGGAAGTGCAAGAAAAGAAACAATTAGAATAGAACTTACGGTTACATCTAGCTATTTCAACTGTAAAACAATGAGACCTAATTGCCAATCTAGTAGCATACTCAAATTTATACGATCGATGTATCAAGGACAAAAACTTATAACTGCTTTTAGAATATTTATTTTAAAAAAGACACAGGGAAGCCACGTGGCGTCGATGGAAAAATGACTGAAGCCGAGATACTAAGCCAATTTATTTCTTTTTAAAAAAATAATGAATTAATTGAATTATTCAAAAACCGATTTTACTCTTAATTTTTTTTTAATCTAACTAGAGGGTGGTTGTCCAGCTAAAAATTGGCGGTTTTTTCAATCTTACACAAAAATATATTCACTGATGCAAAAAAATATATTTTCAGACATACATACGCTTTTTCCTTCCCTTCCACTCTTTCTTTCTCCCTCCTCTCTCTTTCTTTCTCCCTCTCTCCTTTCCCTATCTCTCTCTTTCTCCTTCCTTTCTCCTTCCTCTTTCTCTTTCCTTTCTTTTATCTCTCCCTCTTTTTCTTTGCCCCTCTCTCTTCCATTTTCTTTTTTTCACCCACTTTTCCCCTTCAATCTTTTTCTCTTTTCTCTCAACGTCACTTTCGCTCGCTTTTGTCTCTACATACGCCTCTTCTTCTTCTTCTTCTTCTTCTTCTTCTTCTTCTTCTTCTTCTATTCTCACACTCACATTCGATTTCATACTCTCTCTTTCATCCCATCTCTTTAACTTCCTCTCTCACTCGTTTTCTCTTACTCCCTCTCATTCATTTATTCCTTCTTTCCTCTCTTTTCTTTTTCTCTCTCTTTCCATTCTCGCTTTCCTTCCTCCCCTTCTCTCTCTTTCTCTCTTTCCCTTCTTTTTCTCCTTCCTTCGTTCTTTTCCTTCCTTCCTCTCTTTATCTTTACTCTCTCTGTCCTGAGTAAGCTAAGTTAGTTTTCCGAACACAGCCGTTTACCGTTTTATGTTTTGGGGTAAAATATTTGCTTGATCCTTTATATATATATATATATATATATATATATATATATATATATATATATATTTGACTTTACATAGAATTCGCAACCTACATGACGTAATTATATAATACTATCATAATATACTTTGCCTTTTCGGAGCATTTGGCTGTGGTCCTCAACGCTGGCCTTCTTCTGGGGGGTTGTGATTATAACAATCAAGATAAGTCTTTTGCTCTGAATGCCAAATCATGCAATAATGATAATTCCGACTACATTTATATGAATTATTAACAATTTTATTTATAATTTATTTCATTAATTGTTAAACACTAGTTTAACCTTGTTAAAAACGAAAATATATTCTGACCAATCACGTCAGGGAACAACGTTAATGATACGCAGAGTATTTCGGATTCAGCGATTGGCCCAAAAAGATTCTGCAATTCAACAGATTTAATGCAGACATTTCTCACTAAATGACTTACTCGTTTAATTACTCCCTGGCTTACGACATAAAGTAAAAAGAAAGAGTAAAATGAAAGCGAAAAATAAATGAATAAATATGTATCAAACCAATCAGTCGGTATTTTATTGTCATCGTTAAAATGTTTTTCTTTAATGAAAGCAAAAATACTACCGACTGTTTTTTTTAAAACTCTACGAAAAAAATCATAGAATTATTCGATTTAACTTAAATTTTTGAGCAACTTATTCATTAATGAAGTACTTCTATAGTGAATAGGACATTTTAACAGAAGACCTAGTGAAAATGGAGTGTTTTAATAGAAGACCTCGTGGAAATGGGGTATTTTAATGGAAGACCTTGTAGGAATAAGGTATTTCAATACGAGACCTTGTTGAAATAGGGTATTTAATAGAAAAACTTTCGAAAATAGGGTATTTTAATACGAGACCTTGCGAAAATAGGGTATTTTAATACAAGATCTTGTTGAAATACACTATTTTAATACAAGACCTTGTTGAAATAGGCTATTTTAATACAATACCTTGTTGAAATAGAGTATTTTAATAGAAGACTTTGGAGAAATAGGTTACTTTAATAGAAGATCTTGTGGAAAGTGCTCAGTCGAACGACATTCATTAGTTACTCCAATCTAACCTTCACGGCTAGGACCCACCATGCTATGCCCATTGTAGCGAGCCCATCATTCCCTTAGTATTCCATTTGTGATAAGTTCCACTTGAGCAGCTTCTTCCCATGAATCGCTGCTCTGTAGAACTGATCCCCCAAGAGGCTGTTTTGCTGATCACTACAATCTTGGCTTTTTCGAGTCTAGGATTAACCGCTATCTTCCCCAAATATCTGCATAAACTGTGCATCTTACTCTGTAACTCTCTACCTCGAGTGGCTCCCAGGTCTTGTACAGGGTGAACACCACTGTAAAAAAAAAAAAACGTTAACTGTCCTTTTGCAAGCAAAAGGACTTCCTTTACTCTTACTATTTGTCACGCTTTTTTTTTAAATTTTTTTGTTTTTTGTATCTGTTTATATTTATGAGATGAGGTATTATGCACATTATTTACATTATTCGAACTATTGTCGTCATCTTTGTCGCCATATTTATTACAACGTTTCAACCGTTGTACACTCTGGCCTTCTTCAGTTGGTTGGAATGTCAAACTGAACCCTTTATTTCGCTCACTGGAGTAGATTGTTCTAATTCCACGTGCCATGTCTAATGGATGTCAGTTATCAGTTATCTCCTGTTAATTCACCTCTCCAAGTTCTCTACTGCCTTAACCAGGTATTGACACATGGCACAGGGGATAAAGTCGTTGGTTAGATCCAGTAACAGGACCCAAAGAGTGTGAGTTCAATACCCGGTTAAGGCAGTGGAGAACTTGGGGAGAGGAATTAACAGGAGATAACTGATAACTGACATCCATTAGACATGACACGTGGAACTAGAACAGTCTACCCCAGTGAGCGAAATAAAGGGTTCAGTTCGACATTCCAACCACCTGAAGAAGGCCGGAGCTTACAACGGCCAAAACGTTGTGATAAATATAGCAACAAAGATAAGAACAATAGACTGAATAATGTAAATAGTTGGGTTTTTTGGGGGTGGGGGATTTTTTTTTTTTGTTCTTGCTTTCCGGTGTGACGCTTTATCTCATCTTAAATAACAATTCTTTTTTTTATGGCTCAGCATCTTAAGAATTTATCAACGACCTTCTTTGATGAGATTTGGTCGAAAAGATGGCCGCTTGAGAGGCATTAGCCCACCTGCTTCTCATGATAGTTAATTTCAAAATGTGTCCGATTCTTCAAGCTATGCATGAGCCAATTATTTAAAGCTCGGGTCTAATCCTCTGTAAAACTGATTAGAATTACTCACAAGGCATATTAAATACAAAAAAAAAACATGGCGGAAACACCGAGTGACCCACTTGGCAAGTTTTTAGTGAATTAATGACAGAACTAAGAGTGACAATAAAAGAGGAAGAGTTATATAGAGCAACAAGAACCAGTAAGTTGTGGAGTGCTATAATCTCCCACATCTTAAATGGCATACGAAAGAAGATGTTGATTTGGACAATTCTAGATATGTCCTACGTTTTTATTAAGATTTTGTGTCTATATTGTTTGATATGACTTCGTAAATTCAGGATGAGTTCATTGCAACAAGGAACTGGTGAAATGAGCAATCTTAAGTCCGGAATAGAAGGTTAGGTTGGCTTAAGATAAATTTGTTTTCATAACAAAAAAAGTGGGGTCTGGAAAAGAATTTGGAATCAACAGGTAGGTTGGCGTAAAATAAAGCATAAAGTAATAAAATAAAGGAGAGATCTAGCATAAAAGTTGCTAGGTTGCAAAAAAAAATCAAAATTTAAATAGCCGGCCACGCCCGTCTATTCCGGACACACCAGTCTATTCTGGGTACGCCCGTCTATTCCGTACAGCTAGACAGCACCACTGAATAAACAGCTTATGAACACACTTAGAAATAGATACATATTTGTTCTGAAAAAAAAAATCCACATTAAGTTATGACATATCTATCTATATTCGCTGCTTAACGCACAAACACACACACAAACAAATGATCTCTACACAAACTTGCCAACATACGAAGCTGTGCTTCGATGGAGGCGATGAAAACTTCCTGACGGGAATATTTCTTTATTATCGAAAAATAAAAATAAGACCAACAACTAACACAAAAACATCGCATTTACACTTCTCACTCATACTACAGACAACGTAACAGTATTTCTATGAAATCTTAATAGAGGAATGTGGATATATTTCTTCTTTTAAACTTATAAGCTTCTTTTCGGAAGTAAGATGAATTATGGGAAGACTTAAAAGCCATCTTTGAAAACATCACCGTCAGCACCTATTGATATACGTATGTTAAGAATAATGGCTTCCCGTAGCCTAATTGGTAATTGCATTTCGGATTTATAAATAGGCACTTCGATGTAGTGTAATGGTTAACAAGTTTATATCACTAGATTAATTATGACTGAATAGTGAATTTAGCCCCTACTGCATGCTCCATACTTTAGTCCTTGTGACTCATCTAAGCCACGCTTAGCAAATCGCTGTATATCAAGGATGATAGCTTCCTGTAGCCTAAATGATGTCTTACGGTGGTCTAATTGGTAACTGAGTGCGTCGGCTATAGAAATGGGTACTTCGGCGTGATAGAATGATTAGTAACCTTGTCTTGCTGGACTAATTATGACGGAATAGTGAGAATCCTTACTGCGTGCCCCATAATCTCGACCCTGTATCGTATCTAAGCTATGCTTAGTTAATCACTATACCTATACCAAAGTGAAAAAAAAACTCTCTCAATAAAGTGTGCAAGGGATAGTTAGAACAATATTTATTGTTATTAGTGTAAAAAAATATATAGCAAATAATAGTTGTACGACAGACACAATAATGGCAAGATTTCTTTATAAAGTCCTAACTAGTCGTATTTTTACATTCGGGGTTGTGGAGGTAATGACATTCATTTGAAAATCAGAAAACATTTCCATTCTTCCTTTTTGAGACATTAGAATCTAAAACTTTTATATAAATCTTACATGTGAATAAAATCTATTATTGATTTTCTAGAAAATAAGTACAAATGAAAAGCAAAAAGTAATATGTATTTAAAATTTGAACAAAAAATGTCTACAATTTGATAATAGATCTAAAAAAAAAAAGAATACTTCTTGTTTGTGTGGATCAAGTGAAAAAATATAAAACTAGGTATCTTTAAAATTTATAATTTGACTCAGCATCACAACAGTTTAAAAATCTGATTTAGCCTCCCCACTTTTAGTATTTGATTAAGCCTCCCACTTTTAGTATCTGATTCAGCCTCCCCACATTTAGTATCTGATTCAGCCTCCCCACATTTAGTATCTGATTAAGCCTCCCCACTTTTAGTATCTGATTCAGCCTCCCCACATTTCGTATCTGATTCAGCCTCCCCACATTTCGTATCTGATTCAGCCTCCCCACATTTAGTATTTGATTAAGCCTCCCCACTTTTAGCATTTGATTAAGCCTCCCCACTTTTAGCATTTGATTCAGCCTCCCCACTTTTAGTATCTGATTCAGCCTCCCCACTTTTAGCATTTGATTAAGCCTCCCCACTTTTAGCATTTGATTAAGCCTCCCCATTTTTAGCATTTGATTAAGCCTCCCCACCTTTAGCATCTGATTCAGCCTCCCCACTTTTAGCATCTGATTCAGCCTCCCCACTTTTAGCATTTGATTAAGCCTCCCCATTTTTAGCATTTGATTAAACCTCCCCATTTTTCACATCTGATTCAGCTTCCCCAATTTTAGCATCTGATTCAGTTTCTCCATTTTTAGCATCCCATTTTAGCCTCCCCACTTTTCCCATCTGTGTCAGCCTCCCCATTTTTAGCATCTGATTCCGCCTCCCCATTTTTAGCATCTCATTTAGCCACCAATTTTTTTTTAATTATT